TGAAGGCGTAGGTCGACAGCCGCCTGTTCCAGCCCAGCGATGACACCGCCCTCGGGAGCCCTGTGAGAGGCTTCGGGGGCGTTGTCTTCACCAAGATGGTAATACTACTCATTTTGAAAAATATTAATGACATGTTTTAATTCGCAAATGTCATCTAATTTTTGTCAGGATGACAATAATGTCATTAAGATGGCATTACAACTGCAAGATGACAATAATATCATTACGATGGCATTACAACTGCGAGATGTCATTTAAATGATAGTCCTACCAGATCTGGGTTCAGATCTGAAATCTATCGTGGTTGGCTTAGTGGAGGTGGTGGATTCTCCGGTGGTGGATGAAGCGGCCATATCGTTGGACGTGGCAGTGATGACACCGGAGATGGCGGGGGCTGGCGGCGACTAGGGTGGATGAGGTTAGAGATTGGGAGGGTTGTGGCGCCTGTGGTGGCAGCGGCAATAATGCCGACGGTTCTGGTGGTGGTGGCGGAGGCGGTGGAGGCTGCAGTGGTGGTGGCGGCGGCGGAGGTGGCACTGAAGATGTTAGCGGTGTTGTGCCAGAGGACTATGATGGGCTTATTATATTTTCTTTTGTTATTTTATGTTGTATTACTATTACGTATATATTAATTAATTTGTTTATTAAGGATATTGTTGTCAAGTTATCTCTTTTAAGTCCTATGCATGTAACGGAAACATTGAAGTCCCATTATTGCACTTTTAATAACTTTTAGTCCTAATTAGAGAATTATCTCTTCTGTATATTCTACTTCTTCTTGATATGAATTTTCTGAGTTTCTAAGTTAGTTTATAATGAGTGGAACAAGCTCTATTTATAATAGCCAAGCTTAGGAATGAATCATCTAGGAATGATTCTACATAATTTGCTGGCAGTATTGAATCTAGCCATGTGTGTGATTACAAGGATTTGTGCTTGCTTAGTATCCTGATTACAAGGATGGATATTCACACTTGTCATTTTGGTGATTTTACAACACTCCCCCTTGAATGTTCATCCTTGAATATGCATTTAATATTTTAAAAACTTATTGTGAAAATTAAGGGGTAAAGATCACGACTTATAATGTCGTTGTATTTGGATGTACTGTCTCGTTAAAAACCTTATCAGAAAAAACCCAGTGGGATAAAGACCCGATAAAGGAAAAAAGAGTGCAGTGCAGTCAAATACTCCCTCTGAATTTAGCATAAATTATGAAGGCGGCGCATGCCGATTTTCTGTACAAGTTCTATGTACTTCTTTGGGGGTAAAGATTTGGTGAAGAGATCGGCCGGATTTTCACTAGATCTGATTTGTTGAATGTTGATCATCCCTTCTTTTTCTAGATCATGAGTAGAGAAGAATTTTGGTGATATGTATTTTGTTCTGTCTCCTTTGATGTAACCTTCTTTAATCTGAGCTATGCACGCAGTGTTGTCTTCGTAGATCACAGTATGATGACAAGTAATATGCTTCATACCGCATTCATTTTGGATGTGTTGAATCATAGATCGCAGCCACACGCATTTTCTTCCGGTCTCATATAGTGCAATTAATTCAGAATGATTTGAAGATGTAGCTGTCAATGTCTGCTTCATAGATCTCCATGAGATTGCGGTGTTACCATAAGTAAATATGTACCCGGTTTGTGATTTTGCCTTTTGAGGATCTGATATGTGACACCGCACCCGGATGCACTTGAATTTAAAATTCAGTATATATTTGAATTTTTCTAGCAAATGATTTCGTGTAAAAGAATGGTATATTTAATTAATGAATGATTAATTAAATTATTTTTCGGGTCCATTATATTGAGAATGGGCTACCAAATAATTAGTTGGGTCATCATTATTATTATAGAAGCCCAATAAAATGCCAACCGAGGTTGAGGAAAATATTTGGACAACCCAAGTGTTATTTTGACCCAACCTGCCAGAAATAGCAGGAATAATTGAGAAGGACTTCCTACACCCACTTGAACCGACGACACCTGGATACAAGCATACATCGACTACTTGAAACGCAACACACTTCTATCCAAGGTAACTAAATTCTTAATCATTGACGATGTGTTGTTTAAGCGTTCCAAAGCAGATCCATACCAAAGATGTTTGGCACCACCATAAGCCGTCAAGGTACTAAAGAACCTTCACGAAGGAGAGTGCGGAAATCATGCTGCTGGGAGAATCCTATCCAACAAAGCCTTGAAGTTAGGATATTGTTACAAATATTTTTGTGGTGTTAGATCATATTTTATTATTGTGTATTTGTGTTGTATTTAGTCTTATTAATAGACAATGGGCCACCTTATGATTACGGCCCATATGTCTCTTAGATGCTCATTTTGTAATGGCCTATTCACTGGTGCAAAATTACCTTTTTGTGGCGCTTAAATCACCCCACGTGCGGCGCTTTTAGGCGACGCAAATCTCGGTGCCGCAATTTAACCCGCGCGGTGCTTAATTTCAAAAAAGCGCCGCCAATATTTTCTTTTTAAAAAAATTATATTTAATATGTGTGCGGCACGTTTTTGCGTATAGGCACCACAAATATTTTCTTAAATTAATAATTTTTGACGTAACCGTGCGACGCCATTCTTTATATAAGCGCCGCAGATGTTTTTTTTAATAAATTAAATTAATTTTTTTTTTAACTTTCGCGGTGCCTTACACAAATAAGCGCCGCAAGTAATCAACATTTTTAAAAAAAAATTCAATCGTATTTAGGATCATTCAAAAGTACGTCCTGGAACAAAATTTAACAAAATACCAAAAGTGTAAACTTTTTAAATAATCACAATATCAACAACATGAACTTACACAAATTACAAAATCAGCAAAGTGTAAACAAGTAACCAACATAGATTACAAAAATCTTCATAAAAATGATTCCAAAAAACACTTAACACAATACATAACCAACATAAACATGTCGTAATTGCTAATATAAAAATTCCGACATACATAATCAATGTAAACAACTTTTGCATATTTAAGAGTACATCCAAGAAAAACCGTGCCCATATATTGCGAATGTTATTAAACTCATCTTTAGAATATGCCTCACTTCTTGAATACCAATCCTACAAATATTTAGATAAAATAAAACATAAATAAAAAATATTACAACTTTTAAATTAGAAAAATTAAACGAAGTTAATAAATAAGAATAAATAATGATATACCTTTCCAATATCAAAGCTATCAACATACGAAATCACTTCCCATATGTATCACATGGTATAATATCCGCATTATGTGTTTCCGTTTTGTCTTACACAGTTTTTTGAAATACAAATTTACAAAATATATGTATCAAAGTTAATGGTGATTGAAATAAGTTATTGATGAATTTAATAATAATTTAAATATAATTATTTATGTAATTATATATACCTTAACATTATGCCATGTGATTGGCTTTCCATCACCATTTCTTGTGGAAGCAACTCTGTATGCTCTATATTAAAAATTTTATGTTATATGATATAAATAATAATAATAATAATCTATAGCAATTAAATAAATATAAAATATTAAAAGAATACTTACAATGCTAGATCTTTCTGAATACTGATATTAGAAAAGCTTGGGATTGAATTAAGATATAGCCTTTATTAACCGAGGGGCAAATGACTATCAAAATCCAATGAAATCTAAATCTAAAAAAACACAATTAATTTAAAAATTAAATTTACATAAACAGATACATTATATAAAATAAAACTATTTACCCTTCATTGTATGGAAGCAAGATCATTCTTTTTCCAAATGTCGCACACAAAGATTGTTTCATATATGTCATTGTGCCCTTCTTGTCAAGTTGATAAGAACCATAAGAGCACAATAAGAGGCACAAAAACACAACATCATCACGTTGCAAATCATTCAATTTAGCTAAGGCACACCTATAATAAACATAATATAGCATCGTTATACAATTTTGAAGTTCAATCATTTCATGAACTTTAATTTAAATATTGTTATATTTATTTAAAATACTTACGGTACAAAGGATTGAATGATGCACATATCCACGAAATCACCCTCGAGTAATTCAGCCAAGTCTTTACGATCGATGATAGTCCCAAATTCACTGTTTTGCGGATAGTGAAAGACATCAACAGGTAAAGCAATAGAGAATTTACACACCTCTGGCTCATACCACTCTAGCGTCTCATGTAGCTCCAATAAATCTTCGGTTAGTGACTGCAAAATAGTATCATTAACCAATGGGTATGTGCTAGGAGGAATCACAACCCGAGGAGACTCTCTCGGAATAAAAGCTTTATTCTTTTGAATCACATCTTTCCGCTTTGACTTTACCTGATCCTAAAAAATGGTCAGAATGACAGTAACATAGAGTAATTTTGTATTGTTTGATAATTGCAAAGAGTTATTTATTCACCTCTCCTTCATAAAAAACTAAATGACTAGGCCACTCAACAAATGATCGATCCTATAGCGTCTGTCAACACATATATCTCAGCATTTTCATTTAGAATTAAAAGAGGACATTGCTCAAAACCTGTAAAAACCATTGAAACAATAAACAAACTTAAATAATACTAACATTTAAAGATTTGCATCTCACAAAATCTGTGAACACTATGGAAACAAAGGATGACATTTCACAAAACCTGTATAAATCATAGATATGTTAACTTTAATGGTATTAGCAGACATCGGAATATTATGTATCATGGCCCCCGGGGCGGTATTATAAGTCAAAGCCATTGCTACATATTTCAAATCTTTTTGTCCATCTTCTGCTTGTGACCCAACAGCTAGCTTACAGGATGAACCGTCCTATAATTACTTTCAAAAAAAAGTTAATAAATATTGTAGACATTAATAAATATATATGATTTTAATAATTACTTACAACAACAAAAATTCGTGGAATAGGTGCCGTGGAGTTCATAGTGTCTGCATCTACTGTTTGAGAATGCGTAGATGGAAATGTGGTAGATTGGAATCCTCTTTGAGCAAAATCTTTTTCCATATCTTTCATCCACTGATCCTGTAACTTCTTCAAATCAGTATCGCTCAAATTACCAATCTTACGTGAACTCCTCGGCTCTCGCTCAAACACTCTTTTATGCCCACACCTCCTCCAACGCCATGTACACGTCCAGGATAATCAGGTTTCTCAAATATATCGGTAAGAATATCATGTCGTCCGTGTGGCTTCCATGTCCCTGTAGCAACATCATCTTGAATTTTATCCTATTACATATAAAAAAAGAGTTACAAAATTTATACGTAAAACATTCTTATGTGAAAAGTTTATACGTAAAATATACTTATGTGAAACATACTTACAAGTTTTTCTTTCTTTTTTTTCATGGCTTCGGTGTTACTCGGGAAAGCTAGTTGTCCATCTGCTGTCAATCCAGATCTAGCACAAAACCAACTCACATGTCTCGGAATGTCATCAGAAGATACGCTAGATTTTGTGGAATCCACTTCAGACTTAGTCAAAAACTGATCTAGTACTCCCTGATCTTTCCATTTCGGTATGGAAAGTGCATATCCGGAGCTGCCCATATGGTGAGGGTAAATATTCTCTAACGCAGCTTGTTTGTGTTTATCACTTAATTCCTGCATAAAATTTAAAAAGTATGGAATTCATATTATAAAACAAAATTGAATTCAATAAAATTACATTTGGATTATACCTTAAACTCTGGAGTCATGCTCCTAGCGATAAAATCCTCCCACACATCTTGTGTCAAAATGCCTTTATACTTCACATAAGCTTCACCACTATCCTGTCCAACTGGTCGTGTCTTATAAAAAAAGCCAGTCCTCAATCGGTTTCTCCAGTCCCGATGTAACTTTCCCATCTTTTTATGGTCAACTTGTACATGGTGTCATCAACAAAATACTCATCCTACATAGTGGTGATTTAATATATGCATTAGGACTTGTAATCTTTTCTTATTATTAATAAAGTTAAAATATGTAATTAAGTGTACATACCTGGATCTCTTTCCACATCTGCAATTTTAGGGATTCGGGGACTTGTTTCCAACTTTCAATGTTGATGTTTACTCGAGCACGTGCTATCTTGCCCACAAAAGATTTGAACTTCTCCGCCCACGCACCAACTGCCTGACCATTTTTATCAAAATCAACTATTTTTTTCCCGTCGCTAGTTCTGCGCCCACTGCTACTATGTTCCTCCGCCGTAACATGAGGTTCCTCACCGAGAATAAAGTCTTCTCCATCACTATCACTCATAGTGTGTAGCTCCTGCAACAGTGTTATTATTAGAAGCACAAATAATATATGAAAGAAAAATGAATTTTAATTCAAGAAAAAAACATAATAACGTTAAGATTACTTACAATTCACTCATGATATCACTTTGACTTTTTGAAGAAAATTTCTATGCCATCGTTATGATTTCCAACAAATGAAAGATCATTTTCATTGTAATCGATTGTTACATTTCTATCATGCATGCCAGTGGACAATGACGGCATATCTTCAATATAATCATCTTCTCCAACGTCACAATCATCCACATTTAATTTTTTCTTACCTGGTAAAACAACTGACCATCGTTGCCATATGGATTCATACCATCAGTGCATAATCCAAGTCTCAAATTTCCGTCTTCTTTGCCAAAATCAGGATATTTCAAATCAATTTGCCTCCACTGTGGTGCATCAGAAACATGTCGCAAGTACTCATCTTTTTTCCTGCCTTGAGCATGCCACCCTAAGTTTTTTGCATCTTTCTCATTCATGAATAATCTTTTAAATCTAGGAATGATAGGAAGATACCACAACACTTTGGCAGGTGTTTTGGTATATTTAGCATCAAACCCAACATTAATACCCTTCTTCTTATAACGTGAAGCGTGACACTTTGGACATTCATTTAGGTTTTCATATTCATTGCGGTACAGTATGCAATCGACTGGACATGCATGAATCTTCTCCCATTCTGTTCCTATTGGACACAACAACGTTCTATCCTTATAGCTCGTATCGGGAAGTGTATTTCCTTCTGGAAGCATTTCTTGAAGCAATATCAGCAACTCAGTGAAACTAACATTACTCCACCCATGTTTAGCTTTCAAGTGAAATAATTTGAGAACAACAGATAGTTTGGATAATTCAGAACCCGTGAATAGCGGTATATTTGCGGCCTCAATCAAATTCTCATAAGATTTTGGTTGATAATCAAAATTATCATGAACATCATTGAAGAGTTCATCAATTCTATCTTCATTGACATCATCATCCGCAACACCATCATCAATATCATTTGAAGTAGTAGTAATATGAGTAGCTTTACGCTTTAGATGACTAGAAGTTGCTCCAGAAAAAAGGTCTTCGACATCCACACGATTCTCACCATGGAATGTCCATGTCATATAGTTTTCTCTAAAACCCTTCTCAAATAAATGCTGAAGAACTATGTTCACGTCATTCTCTCTTTTAATGTTACGGCACATTGAACAAGGACATAAAATTCCTTTTTGTCCTTGTTGCTTCTGATGCGCAACAACCACTTTCACAAACTCATGAACACCATTGAAAAATTGAGAAGTATTTCGCAAACCATACATCCAGCTACGATCCATGATTAACAACACTAAACTTTATCTAAAAATAAAAAATAATAATAAATTATTGCGTACTTTTTTTCTTTTTAAGCACACTTTTTATGTAAGATTGCAATTGAGGGTTATGCTAATATAAAACAACCTCTTGGAAGTGTTTTGCTGCTCATTACAACTATTCCAAAATTATATTACTCAAAATTAAAATAAAAAATATTGAAAAAAATTATTATTAAAAAAATATACATACCTGCGGTGAAATGGGAGACCGGCGGCTGCAAAATGGGCCGAGGGAGACCGATGGCGGCAAACGAACCAAAGCTCGACGGCGGCAAGCAGACCGGAGCTCGACGCACAGTGGACGCGGATGAGCCTCGACGGCTGCGGCTGGAGTGAGCGGAGGTGCTTAGCTTCGACGGCAACGACGGTGAGCGGAGGAGCGTTGACGGTTGGGCTGGAGTAGGTGCGACGGCGGAGGTGCGATGGCTGGGCCACAAAGTAGGTGCGACGGCTGGAGTAAGGGGTCGGCGGATTGAGGTGTCGAGCTAGGGTTCCAAACTGAAATGCTTGCTGCAAAGGCCCAGGTCGATTAGGTGGAGTAATCTATGCGGCGCTTTTTACATATATGCGCCGCACACCTCTTTTTAAAATCCGATTTTTTTAAAAAATTAGTTTATTTTGAATAAAAACTTGGCGTAGGTCTGCGACGCGTTTTTATTTTAGGCGCCTCCTAAATAATTAAAAAAATAATATTTTTTTAATATGGCGCTTTTTGTTAATTAGGCGCCGCAGCGGCGTTGATATATTTTTAAAATTTTATTTAAGTTTTTCGGTTTGGCGCTTCATTTACACTTTTTCGGTCTTGTGCTTCTAAGTATCAAAATTTAATTTAAATATTGGCGGCGCTTTTATATATAAGCGCCGCAAAGACCCGAAACATTAAATAATTAAAAAATTAAATGCATATTAGAGGCGCTTAAAAACAAAAGCGCCGCACGTCGTATATGTTAAAGGCGCGTGTTTTATAAGCGCCTCAAATGACGTGACGCGGTTTAACAAATTTTTACTAGTGATTCCTTAGACCTATAAAGTCTAGAGGAATAGACACAAAACCCTAAGTTGAATAAAGGCATCCATCACTAGTAAAAAACGGCTTATAGTGACATTAAATTAGTGTCACCAAACGATTTAATGACACTTTGAAAGTGTCACAGAAAAGCGGGGCAAGTGACACTAAATTTAGTGTCACCGTTAACAAGTCACTTTTGTGTCACTAAATTATGACATATGAACATCATAGAGAACCATGATATATATGTAACAAGGATTTTTGTGATACCAATGCATCATGTTTTCTAGTGATATATACATGACAAGAATTTTTGTGATACCATTGAATCATATTTTTTAGTGATATACCGACATCAACAAATATAATGATACTAATACACATTCAAATTTTGTGATGGTTTGATGTCATCATTTTTGACAATGCGCTATATCTTGCATTCGCTATATCTTGCATTCATGATACATTAGTTTCATTACTTTATATGTTTATTTTTACAACAAATTAATTGTTTGGATTTGAAGCAATAGACTAACCAACTTTAAATACATCTCATCTAATAAAAATTACAATTTAATAATAGCGTTTAAGTCATCATTGTTAATTCTTCATGTTAGGTTACAACTTCCGGCCACAACAACATGGGCGCATGTTTTCAGTTTCAAGCAAAAATGACACCACAATTAACCGGGACATTGCATAATAGTTTTACATTCCACAAAATATGAACCTACAAAAGTATACCCAACATAAAGTTCTCAATGAATTTCACTCCAAAGTGTTCCTTGGATTTTCCTTCACTCCAAAAGTACAAGAACCGGCCTTCACTAGACCATCATTCAATCAACCGCATTTGTAAACAAGAAGTACAAGTATAAGGAATTAATCCAGCTTCTTTAACATGTTAACACAATGAACAAAATAAGTTCATTACACACAATAAGAAATTAATTCAGCTTCTCGCTCGATAAAGAACACACTTGGGCATCCTCGCTCGATACCGAGTTCATAATCAGCTGAGGCAACAACAATAACAAACCAAAATGGAAATAAAATTCTTACTTTAGGTACAATTTTGTTGCATATGCTGCCCACTCCTCACACACTTGCAAAATGTCTTGTTCAGAGTTGTCCTTTATTGTTGAGAACTAGAGTATAAAAATACAATGAGTGCAAACATATACAAACTTCAATTAATGTTATCCCACAAAATATATACAAACAGCCCACATTTAACTCACATTCTTTTTCAGGACGTTAACATCACAAACAATGTCACTCATGTACTTCATCAAGAAGTATCCACATTCCATAGCACTGGTTTGCTTAGGGCACTAGATAAGTGTCAGTTACAAATTAGTATTATTATACAACATAATGTAAACACGCCAAATACAATTTAGTTTAATGAAGAACATACCATGACTATAACCCAATTTAGAGATAACCTCTTCTTTGAAACCGATGCATGATGAATTTTCACTCCCCTGATATTCAAATACAAGTTAGATATGAGTACATTATTTTTTCATTGACTTGTAGAAGTGTCTATTTTTCAACACAATGCTCTGATTGAAACAATTACAACAAAAGGCATAGCTACATACATGCATGTAATTAAGTACCACAATTTATGACACTCAAAAATAACTTAACTGGTTCACAATTAGTGACAATCTTCTGATGGATTCTCTCCAATTAAGTCCAAATAGCACATTGTCCATCCCACAACATCAAAGGCTACCAACACCCAATAATTGCTACACATTATATTATAAAATTAATCAATTGCTATAAAAAATTCCAGGTTGAAATAAAAGGTTACGAATCGGTAGCAAAAAAAGATTTAGTGTAATACTTGTAATCATCATAATTATCATGTATTATACAATTAACTAGAAATTGATCGTACTGATGATGTTCTTCCCAAGCTACCTGACGATCGAGAGTTGTCAGTGGTGTTCTTCGCAGCCTTCAGCAGCGACGATGGTATTTAGCAGAGAAGCGAATTGAATCGATCGACATCAGTGTATTTAGGGTTCTATGCTTATGGGTTTCTACGAAGAATGAATAGAGCTAGGTACGGTGGGTTTATTTTGACATGTCACTTACTTTAGTTTGAAAAAATAAGTGGATCAGAATTTTTTGCTAAAGAAAGAAAGTTTTGTTGTGGGGATACTAAAAATAGATGGCGGGAGTATATTTTTGGGAGGGAAACAAAAACTAAATATTTGTTCTCTCAAAAAAAAACTAAATATTTGTTAAGGTTAAAATTCAATACTTTTTATTAATTTAGTGTAACTATTATTTGTTGATGTTTTTGTGTCATATACGTATGACACTTATGCATTGTTAATACTATATGTCGTCTAAGAGTGACACTTTATCACAAAGTGTCACTATAAGACAGTTTTCTACTAGTGCATGGTGTACCATAGACCTTCTACGCTGTTGACGTGCACTTTGTCGTAGTGTGCACTCAAAATAAATACAATACAACAAATATACGTAGTATATTGAAGTAAGGTTCGTATCCACAGGGAAAGGAATACTTTTCTTTTACGTAACTAGTAACATGGGGGATTTTTTATTTGATTTAATAATACTAAGATGAACAACCTATATGAGTTTAATTAATAGAGACGGGGACTTGGTTTTGCTTTTATCCACTTAATGAAATGTTCGTCGATCCCGGTTATATCTTTAACTATCTTCCTCTCGAATACTCAATCGAGGAGTATATCCAGTTCATCGAGGGTAGTTATTAATAGCGAGCACGTTCATTAATAAAACCTACTACCGAGTTAATATAGAAGACGCGCCGTATATCAACTCGATAGTAGCAATAAAATCAAGATGAAAACGATTGAGATTGATAACCTCAACACGAGCGGTTTATTGGTTTAATCAACATAATTAAATCCCCTTATATTATTAACCATGAGACGCATGCATTAATAATTCAAGTTTACTACCGTGAATGAACCAAATTAATAACAAGCGTATTAATCGATTGACTCTAGTAATAATTAATATATGAAACAAAACTAGTTGATCCTTTAAGTAATGCTCAAAATATTAATATGGAATATGAATAGGAAGTAATTAATATTCAAGGAAGAAGATTAAAGAAAATAACTCACAACTTACAAATTCATCAAGCTTCAAAGTAGCAAAACCAAGATTGAAGAGTTTAGCTCCTCATTTGGAGACTAAACATGAAGAAAATATAAAGAAAGAGCTTGTCTAAACTGAGCTAAGAAATATATTTGAATTCGTGGTTTTTTGTGGGAAGGAAAGAGATGTATTTATAGGGAAATGGAGTATGCAGGGGTGTGTACCCGATCGGGTATCGAAGGCTCCCGATCGGGTACACTCAGAAGCTTCCCGGAAGCTAAAAACGTCATGCATACCCGACCGGGTGTGTCGGCTATTTTTGTCTTGAGATTTTGCACCTACCTTCCACTTTTGATGTTCACCAATGGTACCTAGAGTGATCTTGGACCTGTTTGAGCTCAGAATAAACCTAATCTAAACAAATTACAAATATTTTACAAACTAAACTATTACACCAAAAGTGTGTAATTTCCAAAGTAACAATCAATCAAAACTAGTTAAAAACACAAACATAAACATGGAAATTACACGATTATCAACTGCTCTCTCTCTCTCTCTCTCTCTAGTGAGAGACCAACGACCGTTCATACCATGTACAAAAATGCTAAATCATATTGGGTATTGAATGGAACTTCACTTCTTATCTATTCTATACTGTTTTGTTGTTAGATTGTTGAAACAGGTTTCACAGATATTGCTGGCCGACGATGAGGCACGACGCCATCATCTTCACCCAAAATTGTCAACCTTATCAGAACCATGGACCGGTTGGTCATCAGCCATCAGAATCGTTAGATCCTATCTTGTCACTTTGGCCCTTTATGAAGTGGAGTATGGACATTGTTGGAAAGTTACCAGAAGCACCTGACCAGAAGGTGTACATGTTGGCAATGACGGACTACTTCCCAAAATGGGTCAAGGCAGAGCCATTTTGTCAGATACGAGATGACCAAGTGATATCATTCATCAAGAGAATCATCCTTTGCAGATTTCGCATCCCGTCAGAAATCGTTTGAATCAATGGATCACAATTCATCAGCTCCAAAACAAGACGATTTTGTGAAATGTACAACATCAGACTTGAAACGTCAATTCCAAGATACCCACATTCAAATAGGCAAGTCGAGTCTAGCAACAAGGTCATTGTGTCCAACCTAAAGAAGGGATTGGAGAGAGCACAAGGAAAATGGGCTGAAGAGTTGCCGTTAATCTTATGGGCAGACATGATGACACCTAAAAATGCTAATGGACAGACCCCTTTCTCCTTGATCTATGGTTGTGAGGCGGTCATTCGGTTGACGTTGAGATCGTAACGTCGAGATATGGACTTGTCACTGAGGAGAGAAACAATGTGGAGCTGATTCACGACTTAATTAGACATTATTGACGAGTTGAGAGAACTGGCCAAAATTAGAATGCAGACATATCAACAAATGGTGGCCAAAAGTTACAACAAGAACGTCTGAGCAAAAGTATTCAAGAAAGGCGACAGGGTCCTTAGACGTGCATTTGGAAACGAAGTAAGTGGCAAATTTAGTCCAAATTGGGAAGGACCATACAAGATCATCGAAGTCGTCAGACAGGGGGCATATCGATCGACTGGAATCGATAGACGGTAAACAAGTTCCCAGAAGTTCGAATGCAGTATGTTTAAGCAATTTTTCGATATGCTAAAACTAATTAAAAAATAAAGTTATATGAAGAATTGGTCTCGTACAAGAATAATAAGGAAGATGACAAGTGAGCAAATAAGAGTGTATTATAGTGTGTTGTTCGAATGTGAATCTATGGATTACAATGATGGGATGTCCTATTTATACGAAGGGTAATTAATGGCCAGTTGTCCGTTACTGACGGTTCGGCTGTTCCGACCTGACGGTTTTACAACTCGTCATTATTGCTGGCCAGCTCAAATTGAGTAACCCCCAACTTTAATTACATTACTAATTACAATAATAAATACAAATCCGTTATAACAGTCATCATTAAGCCTCATGGACGTATCATTGACTTCTGCGGTCAACCCTCTTTAATGCTACATAAACCGTCAAATTCTTGCTCCAACACAGTACACCTAAAACTTTTTCATTTTTAATCACTGTATTTAAACTTATCAAACGATTATTTACTAACTTAAGCATCGGAGGGCCGTTGGCTCATAGCAAACTGCCAACCTTGGGAAATCTTACAAAAAGGTACACTCAACAATTGACGATGACGGAATCCTAACATACATCAAACAAAGCCTTACCAAAACGTCAAACACAATTGACGGAGGGCTTTCAAAATTTTAGGGGAAGAAGTGATGTTTTCATGTACGATAAACATGAGCATAAACACCACCGATTCTCCGCAATGTTTTGGCCAAAACTACATAAATACACAAGAGAAGCATGTGCTCCAAGAGCATGACAACAAATAGCTCCGAAACATAAGGAGATAATAGGAACGACATTGAAATAAATTATAAACATTCATGTCGACAATATTTTAAAAGTACGAACGAAATAGTATTCAATGTTTTTGCAGCATGTCAATTACGTCCATGCAACCCAACTCGTTATATCTAACAACGGACGGAGTTCCCTTTGCCAACTGAAGTGTTAACATCGTTGTGGACGAAGTTCCAATTCATTGTCACCTAGTCATCAACGCAATCTTGAAGGAAAGAAGATAAGATGTCGGCTTTCATTCTTCATTAGTTTAAGCAACCTCGACGGATTCATCGGGAGTTACTAGAAAGAAAGACAGAGGGATTTCGTTAGAAGAATTGATCAATACGTAGCGACAAGTCGTTGACGAATCAATAGGCGCAATGAACCAAGATGCAAGGTATAAGCTCTTTAAAAATTTCGACAAATTGCCGCTTAACGGTCCGACCCGTGCATCATACACGTCAACTTATCGAAAGGGGGCAATTGTTAGAGCAAGAATTTAACGATTTATGTGGCATTAAAGAGGGTTGACCGCAAGAGTTAACGGGGCATTCACAAGACTTAATGATAATTATTGTAACGTTTTCTATGTATTATTAGGCTCTTTAATGTGATTAAGGAAGATATTAATTGTAATCGACCAACCTTTATGTCAGATTCAAAATCGTCATAACGGATGACTAATCCGTCAGTAACGTACGAAACAGTCCTCAGAGTTAATTACATATCCTACACATAGGAGTGAGTCCAATTGTACTCCAGCTTTCTCTCATTGGAACAATACACTGAACTTCACTCTTATTTGATCACTTGTCATCTTCTGCATTGTTACGTTCTTGTACGAGCCTCGTTCTTCAAATAATTTTCTTTTTTAATTAGTTTTAGCTTATAAAATTATTGTTTAAACAAGGCCTAACTCTATTTGATCTGGACAGTTCATAGACCAACTAATTTAGACTCATTGTGTAAGCAGTTATGAGTGAAAAAGTGCAAAATAGGTAACCTAAAGCATCATTTACAAATTACGGAGTACAATTGTATTACCTAAATGACACATAGAGCCCTCATGCACTAAAAAATACTTCATTCGTCCCTTAAAACTTTGTCATCTTTCCTTTTCGAGACGTCCCGAAAAAAATTTGTCACTTTTCATTTTAATTATTTATTTTGTGGTTACTGTTATTTCTCTCTCCTCTGTACAAACTTTAACAACACAGTTTTTACTTTATTATTTTTCGTGTCGGTCAAACTTCGCAAAGTTTTAAGGGATGAAGATAGTACATGATTTTCTAGCCCTAAAGTAAGTTGATATAGAAAAATCTTTTAGATAATTGAAATTGAAATAGAAGCCAAAGGTCAACAGGAAGACAAACATTTATTATTTGTTGGGTTTTTTAAATGGTGAAATCAGATCTCTAATAAAATTCAAGAGATTCTTGGAGGCTTACCAAGCTGCTTCATGTCAATGCATTAATCTCGAAAAGTGTTCTGTTGTGGTGGGTAAGCCATCTGAAAGAAGAAGTCACAACATTAAAGAAGCTTTAGACATGAAGTTGGCTGCACTA